TTCAAAATACAATCCATATTCGAACTTCAAACAATTTAAAGATAATAGAAATATACAAGGTTTTTATATACTAGTTTGTTTTGTTTTATAAAGAAAAATACATATTCATTAGTAAAAAATGGAGACTGTCATTAAACTAAAACGTGCCTTAGTATTTATTTAACAGAACCTGTAATGTGCGCGTGCATAATGAAACCTTCGTTATATAAATATATTCAACGTAATATTAGTGTCATCAGCGGATGTTGTAGTCTACTCATGATTTCTTTACCTTAAAATATAACTTGATTTATGAAAAAAAAAAAGTTATTGAATCGCACGCAGAAGAAATTTAACAAATTCTTGAAGAAAGTCTTCATTCAAATATTGCGAGTAACAGGTAATTTTTTTTTGTGTGCTGACCCCCTCCCCCGCATAAGTTAAAGGTAAAGGTATCTATAAACCTTTAACTAATAAGAAAAAATGTCTTGATATTTTTGTTATCATGATGACAAAAATATTAAGACATTTTTTGAGATATTAAAAAAAATGTCAATTCTTAATTACAAATTTTTTTGCAAATGTTTTTTATTATAAATTCAGTAAAAAATTCTTAAAAAATCTATATTACATTATTATCTATATTAATCTATATTATCTATATAACTATATTAATCTATATTATCATTATTATCTACATTAAATCTATATTACATTATAAAAACATTTATATTCTGTTTTAATAAATATGTAATATAGATTTTTTTAAAGTTTTTTACTGAAAACTTTAAAAAATTACTACTTTTTATTAATAACATTGCAAAAAATTTGTAGTTAAGGATTTACAAACAATTTTTCATGTTGATATATTTGGATAAAAAGTTTAGCGTCAAATTAATTTTTTGATCAAATTAGTAGTCAAATTAATAGTTTTGGATAAAAAGTTTAGCTAAATATTTGGATAAAAAGTTTAGCGTCAAATTAATTGCTATAAAAAGGAAAGATATATCACGATGAAAAGTTACAACAATTATTTTTAAAGTAAATTCTTTTTTTTAATAAATATCTTTACATATCGTTATTTAAAAGTTAATGTGGTTTTTTTGAAAATTAATTACTTCTTTTATGTTACCGCTAATTTAAAAGTTAAAAAATGATAAAAAGTAGCTTAACCAAAACAGCTCTACGCGTACGTAAAAATCGCTTAAGGCGTACGTAATTTGCTGTAGGTGTAACGCTTTAAAACAAGGCCTGAGGCCTCAATAGGAATGAGTGCACAAGCAGTGAATTGCCCGTCTAAATGGATATGGTAGGCAATTTTTGATATTTAAATAAAAAAGCTCATAGATAAATTAAAATTCATTACTTTTTAATAATAATTTTTTAAGTTTTACACTGTAATGTTTTGCATCATATGGTAAATTCATCAGAAAAATGATCTTATAGAAAAATTGTTAAAAACATTGACCAAATTTGTAAACTCTATTTTAATAGTTTAAAAATTTATTAGAAAATATTGGATTGCTTTTTTTATTGAAATGATTTATTATTTTATAAATATTTGGTCTCTGGTTACTTCTTATTTAATAAATATTTGGTCTCTGGTTACTTCTTATTTTATAAATATTTGGTCTCTGGTTACTTCTTATTTTATAAATATTTTTGTCTCTGGTTACTTCTTATTTTATAAATATTTTGTCTCTGGTTACTTCTTATTTTATAAATATTTTGTCTCTGGTTACTTCTTATTTTATAAATATTTTGTCTCTGGTTACTTCTTATTTTATAAATATTTTTGTCTCTGGTTACTTCTTATTTTATAAATATATTGTCTCTGGTTACTTCTTATTTTATAAATATTTTGTCTCTGGTTACTTCTTATTTTATAAATATTTTTGTCTCTGGTTACTTCTTATTTTATAAATATATTGTCTCTGGTTACTTCTTATTTTATAAATATTTTGTCTCTGGTTACTTCTTATTTTATAAATATTTTGTCTCTGGTTACTTCTTATTTTCATATTTTAAAAATTTTCTTGTTACTCTTCTTCTTTGTGAAACAGTTTTTTTCTGATTTAAAAAGTTGCGTCAAATGTTTCTTATGTAAGTAAAATATAATTCAACCTAAAAAACATTAAACTTTACTGTTGAAAAAAAATAATTGTATATTTGCACAAGCTATATTTTGCCTATGTAAACGAATTTACACGGGTGTGAAGTCAGGCGCGGCAGATCCACCTATATATATAATATATATATAATATATATATATATAATATATATATATATATATATATATATTTATATATATATATATATCATATATATATATATATAATATATATATATATATATATATATATATATATATATATATATATATATATATATATATATATATATATATATATACATATATATATATATATATATATATATATATATATATATATATATATATATATATATATATACATAGATATATATATACATATATATATGAATATATATATTTATATATGTATATTATATATTATATATATATATATATATTATATATATATATTATATATACTATATATATATATATATATATATATATATAAATATATATATATATATAAATATATATATATATATATATATATATATATATATATACATACATATAATATATATGGGCAATTCCATTTTTAACTTACGTTACACGCGCGCAACAACTTTATCAAATATTTGCCTATTTAAACTGTAAATTAAACTTTTAGCTATTTTGTATGAAAGCTGTAAGTCTAGAATAAAATAAGCAAAAAAATTTGTCTGGCAAAAAAAAAATGAGTCTGGCTGAAAGAGGGCAAACTTATTACAGAAAATGCCACTTAACTTACATTACATGGAAAACTAGGTAAAGAAATTGCTTCAACTTTAAGGTCAGATTTCTGCGAATCAGTAAAACGGTTTGTATTAGAAACTTTCACAAGATGTTAAGAATTCTATGCCAATTTAAAAAATATATAAAATTTTATCAGAGGTGACCTGGTAAGGAAAATAAACTGTTTTTTTTGATACTGTATATCTAACTTACGTTACATCACTTATGTTACCTTGCGTTTGTTATTGTGGATTTTTTACTTCTATTATTTCAAGTTAGAGTTACATAACAAAACAATTTTGAAGGTATTGAACTTATTCATCAAAAATAATTAAAAAAGGAAATTTTAAAAAAACTGGTGGCACTCGTGATTTTTCATAACATTTATAAAAGTTATCAAATCGAAAACAGTTTTTTCACAAGACCAAGGGTAACTTTGAAAAATTGTTTTAGTATTACAACTTTTTAATACTTATTTGAGTCGTTTAAATAAGAAAATCTTTGGTTTGTCGAAGTTTTTACTTACACTCCTTAAGTTTATGCGTATTGCCTTGTTTTCATTAGGTTGAATTTTTAAAATGCTGCAAAATATTTACATTTAAATCTTTTGAAATATTTTTGAAGAAAAATGCTATCACAATTTAGGAGGGAGAGAGATTCAGGTATGTGTGATCATTTGTGACAGGAGGGAAAGGGTTGAAAATTGACAAATATAGGGTGACATGCTTTATGGATGACCCATAATAGCATTTACAAACCATTTGTTTTACTAAAACAAAAACAAACAAAAATTCTAACTGATTTTTTTTTATATTAAAAGAATACTAAATAAATCTGTTTTTTTTAATGTTTAAATACAAATATTTATATATTTCTTATTTTTATTTTTTATGGGTATTTATATCAAATAAAATAACAATACATAAACAAATAAAAAAGCAATATAAATAATTTTAATTAACATTAAATAAAAAAGATCTTTTTTCTAAACTCTCCTAATATAAAAAGTTCCAGTTAAAACCTTGCCAACGAAATAATAATTACTTAATGACGTAATTCATATTGTTAACGAAAAAGCGCAAGAACTTAAGAAAATGTTTGTAGTTTTAACTTTCGTTACACAAATTTAAAATAAAATTGTGCTCTAAGCATCGTTATTCAAAACTTTAAATGCAAAAATGTAACATTTAATATTCTTTCGCATATATTATTAAAAAACTTAAGTTTTTTAACTAAATTTTATAAGAAACAAAACTTTATCATGTTTTTGTTAACTTAGGTTACATGAAAATTGCAAAAGTTCATTCGTTATTTTCTTAAAATATATATATTCTATAAAGTATAAAATCTGACCAACAACAATTTGAACATGTTAGCTCCATTTTCACGCAAATTTAATTCTGATTATGCAAATAAATTCATGGTTAAAATAACATTTTACAATGATTTTTTATCATGCGACAATGAGAAAAATTGTAACTTTCAGAGGGATAAAAATGACTTATTCTAGTATTAAAATTAATTCTAGTATTAAAGATATATTTTAAATAAACTTTTATGTATCTACATCAATATTTGTTTGCTAGAAGTTGACGAAAAAAAGAATAAAATTTGACTACTTTTTCATTTTCCACTGTGGAATTACCCATATATAGGTGATCTCCCGCGCCTACCTTCACACCTGTGTAAATCAGTTTACATGGGCAAAATATAGCCTGTGCAAATTAGTATAATTAAGAACAGAGTTTATAAAGGAGTTTATTAAAGCTTATATAAATATTAGAATAGATGGCAGTTATAATATTTATATAACTTATATAATATATAGCAAAAATTGATTACTCATAAATATTTGATAATCAATATTATTTTATTAGCAGTATATTTCCTTTATTTAGATAAAGAAAAATTTTTTAAAACAAAAAATAACTATATCAGGTTGTAAGGATTGTAAAACTATGACAAAGAATAAATAGGCTGGTTTAATTTATTTTAAACTTTTAAAAGCATTTCAAAATAATGTTACAAATGTAAATAAAATAATGAAATAACGTTTGTACTACGTTAAACTACGTAATGTTTACAACTAAATTGATCTGATTTATAAACAGTTTATAAAACTAGAGTTTACAAAATTAAAGAAAAAAATTACCTGAAATTTAAACGGAAAAGCATTTTTTCCCAACTTTTTTATTAATCTCTCTTGCAATCTTGTAAGCTCCTCAGGTTTATTTTCAACTGGCTCAGGTGGATAAACTTGCTTCTTTGCCTAAATAATTAATTTCAGATTTGAATAAATAATGAGTTTCAGATTTGAATGTTATGTTTCATTACCTATATAATCTCTATGCCAAAAAAAGGCTTAGATAACACAACTGCTGTTATATAGATAACTTTTGGAATAAAAAAATGACAAATCAAAAAAAAAATTAAAAAAACACAGAAAAAACAGTCACAAAACAAATATTTACTTTAATTATTTTTTCCTTAACATCGATAAAAATATCATATAAATAAATTAATAATTTTATTCATAAAAATCCTAAAATCGATAATACAATATTAATAATATGTTAATAATAAAATTAATATGGACTATAATGTAATATAAAATAAATTTTAAGGCAACGAGTTGCAAAGACACACTCCTGATAAGTGGCTTTAGTGCAGGTCTTAGGTTTCCAAAAACCTTACACGTTCCTGAGGAAGGGGGATCATCATACATCCACTACTCAATTTTAATTAACATTTTAAAATTTATCTACCATGGTTTTCAGCACATTTTATATTCATATCACAATAATGTGATATACAATCATAATAACATAAATAAGTAACATAAACTTATCAGTAACTTAACATAAACATAAGTCTTAATAGTTGATAAACATAAGCCTTAACAGTTGATACAATATTAATGTAGTGTTAGTATTAAAACTATTTAACTTTTTCAAGTTGCTTTATCTTCTTTCTATTTTTATGTTTTAATATCAATGAGTATTTTTATCATTTTCTGATAATTTAAAAAAAATATCATAAAGTCAAACATATTTCTTTAATTTCTAAAAGTATCATTCAAAATATTTTTTGTCATTCAAAAAAAATACCATTTTATAACGTCAAACATGTTTCTTTTATTTCTAAAAAGTATCATTCAAAATATTTTTTGTCTCAATGAACTCTTAATGATTTTGTTTCAATTTTTTTGCAAAGATTGTTGTGCAAAAGCTATTAATATATAATAAATATATAAATAAACAAGAAAATGAACCTAGAAATTAACTTGTAGAGCCAAAATTACTTAAATAGAACCTATGTAACACCTCCTAAACATCCTTAATAAAAACTTATATTATTAATTTTTATAGCTTCCTTGGTTCTTGGTTTTCTTATATATTAATTCAATATAAAAACTATTTTACTTTATAACTAAACAAAATCAAATCAAAAATCATTAAACTTTAATAAAACTCTTTCTTGCAAACAGAAGCTGTAGAAATCATTTATTCTTGAAAACATAGAAATCATTTATTAAGAATCTTTCTTACTCTTAAAACATAAGAAATAGAAATCCTTTAATATAACACTTTCTTGCCCATTATAAATATTTATTTATAATGTGTTATATTTATATAATGTGTTATATTTATAATAATTATAATTTATAATATAACACATTAAATTAAAATTTACTTTTAGAACTAACAATACATTTTTATATAAAAATCTTGTTTCACAAACATTTGAAACATTTTTTTCTAAAAAAAAAAATATTAATTCTTAATCAGTTTGAAAAAGTGATTATTTAAAAAAAAAAAAAAAAACATACAAGAAAAAGATCTTTCCTAAAAGTTAAACCAAGAACATCTAAATCTTCTCGTCCATACCGAAATGCAGCCAGCACATGACAAAAGACTAAAAAAAAAGATTGTAATCTTTTCATCATTATATTTTTCTCATCATCTGTTGATTCATTATTAATATTTAGTTTTCTGACATTAAGGTAAATAATTTTAAATAAACTCAACTTTTTAATATAACATTTTTAGCATAACAACATTTTCTTAAAATGTAAGCTACAGCATTTTTTTAAATGTAATTAAATAAAATTTGCACAATTCTTGATAGAATAAAATACTAATAATATTTGAATTCATTTATCAAAATACCATTTCTAAATAAATACATCATTTACATAAAGTCTTTTGTTATTTATGCAAAAAATCATAAAGTAATAAAATCTCTTGACTTAATGTATGAAACTGCTATCAATGGATTATTATTAATGAAGAAAATCTGTGTGTAATTTCTTATTAATGAAGAAAATCTGTGTGTAATTTCTTATTAATGAAGACAATCTGTGTGTAATTTTTGGTGTGTAATTTCTTGATATAGTATCATCAATCTCTTTTTCTGTTGATGATTTTATTCTTTTATCAATCAAAAATTCATATCAGAACTTTAAAAAATTTGAAGGATGTGAATCAAAGATGAAGGACATTAGAAAAGTTTTGCTCCAGTTCAATGATTACAGAAATTTTTTTAATAATAAACCAACATATCTAGTGAAATCTTCATGTTGAAATGGTTTTCCTTAGAGTGGTAACCAAAAAAAGACCTAATAATCCATGTCTCTTTTTTAATATAACTTAATTTAAAAATTCAAGTATTGTCAGGTTGAAATACTAATGGTAATACACAAAACTAAACATATTTTTAAAATATTTGAATTGGTCGAAAACAATCAATATTAAAAACAATGTTTAAATGGAGAATATCAAGGACTCCTTTTTTAAAAACTTAGATATAACATCTTATCTTAGATATAACATCTTATCTTAGATATAACATCTTATCTTAGATATAACATCTTATCTTAGATATAACATCTTATCTTAGTGGGTATTTAAAAAAATAAAAATTATAATCCATTTTAAATTCTCTAGCAATTAATCAAAAAAACACTGTTTTTGATCTGTCTGCCATTTTGCCAAGTGTAAAATTATTCTGGCTTCCGAAATCAAGACTTTGATTTTATTTAAACTTGTCTGAATTCAATATATACATTAGAATATATATATTAGAAAAATTCAATATATATATATATTAGAATTCAAAAATTCAATATATATATATATATATATTAGAATTCAATATATATATTAGAATTCAAAAATTCAATATATATATTAGAATTCAAAAATTCAATATATATATTAGAATTCAAAAATTCAATATATATATTAGAAAAATCTTTTTATACTTGAATCAACAATTAAATTAAATATGGAACTTTGGAAGCATTTTTGGCAGGCTATTTAAATGTATAATGATGGTTGCACTTACAATATTTACAAACATTTTTTGGTGCAAACCAAACAGAAAAAGTAAAAACTCATTAAAAAAATGTGTACACTTTTGAGATCTTTTTTCTTTTTAATTCATTTTTATTATTTATATAATATAACAATAACAGAATATATATTCCTATATAAAAAGTTGTCGCATTTCATGGATATAAACACCAATTGGATAATAATAGCAATCATATAACAGTATTAAAATAAATTTAAGAACAAAAATTATAATAATAACAATAATACTATTAGATAATATAGATTTATTGCAGCTGTAGCGCAGTGATTAGCGTTCTGGCTCAGAACCAAGAGATCCTAGGTTCCATGCCAGCTCCAGCCCAATAAGAGACATTGGAAGGAAGGTGTGAACTTCCTAGTTAAATGCTCTTGAAGTGCTCTGTGATAAGGTCATAATTTAAATGCTTTTGAAGTGCTCTATGATAAGGTCATAAGTTAAATACTTTTGAAGTGCTCTGTGATAAGGTCATAAGTTAAATGCTCTTGAAGTGCTCTGTGATAAGGTCATAAGGAGTACATTAACCGAAAAAATATATATAATACCAATAGTTACAAAAATAATATTGATAAATAATAAATATTACTATAACAATATTGGTAAATACCAAAGATAAACGCAAAACAATAATAATGACAGCAAAAACAGTTAAATTTTATTTACATCACATGTAATAATAACAATAACAATAGCAAAAATAATATTATTTTGGATAGAAAGTAAAGGATGTCAGAAAGATATCGTTGAAATTATATTATTTTTAAAGCCTTGCAGGTTAAATAATCTTAAAAAGCCATGTGACTTTATCCCCAAACTTTACATACATATCTAAGATGCGACATACTTTAAAATAATTTTTTATACTATACTTTATACTATAAATTTTTTATACTATAAATTTTTTCTACTATAAATTTTTTATACTATACTTTAAAATAAGGTTTGAACCATTTGACCATTCTTTTATGTGCTTTTGCTTAGCACCACTTTTATGTGCTTTCACTCTATCACCTTTCTCTCTGTTCTGTATTGTTCTCCTTTCCAAGACTGCACTTTTGTAGATGTAATTTCTGATCAAATTGCCCATGTCCTTTCTTTTTACCCCTCTGCCAATATTGTTGTTATTAGTGACTTTAATGCTCATCACACTGATTGGCCCTAATGCCACTGACCTTGCTGGGACTAGAGCCTATAACTTCTGCATTTCTCAATCTCTTATTCAGATAGTTAACTTTGTGACTTGTTTTCCTGAAACTCTAATCATTTACCTTCACTCATTGATTTATGTCTTTTCTCTCCTAGCTTCTGTTCAGTTTCTCCTTTTTCTGCCTTAGGTGGTTCTGACCATACAATAATCTCTAAATCTTTCATCTCATATTATCTTTTCTGACTCACCCTATCATCGCACTACTTACTAATACCCTAAAGCTGACCGGGGTTCATTTCATGATTTTCTTTGTGACCATTTTTGGGCTATTTTCTCTATCAGCTGAAAATATCAGGCAGGACTGGAAGCTTTTATTTCTCCTTGTCAATTTCAACCCTCATTCATCTCCATGGTTTACATCTTCTTATGCAGGTGCTATATCTAATCGTAATCATTTTTTTTTATCTTTTTCAAAAAAATAATTCTCTTGAGAATAAATGGCTATTTATTATTGTAAGACTTCAATTTAAAAAGGTGCTATCTGATGCTAAGCTCGATTATTCTCAGTTTACTAAAGCTCACATCTTATCTCAGAGGTTAGACTATAAAATTTTGAAAAATCTTCAACAGCGTATTAACAAGGGTAGGACTAACAGGCTTGAACAGGAATGGCATGCGATCGCACTCTGTAACTGAACACGCTAATATTTTTTTTTTTACAACTTGACCACAGCTATTTTAATGTTATAACAATTTAAATGCAATACAAAGTGTTACGTTATGAAAAAGTTTAATCGTTGATCTTTTCTAAAGTTTTTATTTTACAGGAAGGCTTTAAATAAAACCATAAAAATTAATTATATTGACTGTTTACATAAACGCATGTGTAAATTGATAAAAAATATATAATTTTTTTTTATGTAGGCATGTATTACTTATGATTAATTTAAACGTTTGAAACTATTTATTCATGTCTTCCTAAAAATCTTTTAAACAATTATTTTTAGAAAGAATTTTTTTAAGTTATTTTAATTTATGAATAAGTTCAAAACCTTTTGTGACTACTAGCTTTTACACATTTTATGTGAATTATACAAGAATATAAAATAACTTTATTTACTTATATAAGCATTTTTGTTGATTAATTGAAAAATTTTGAATCATGTTCATACGATTAATTTTTATAACTAAACTTACGTTTTTTAAAATCTAATAAACAAACATATTTTTTTTTTTTTTTTTATTACGATAGGAATGAATGAGTTTAGACCTTTTATAATAATTTTTAAAATCATTACTTGAAACACTTATTGATAAAGTTGTAACACTCAAATTAAAATTAAATTAAATTGCTTGCTGGCAGTTTATTTTATTTTATTGCAGGCTCACTTTATTTATTTTTTCCTATTTTTACGAACAAAAAAGTTGAAAAACTTTTTTTTTAACTAGACTTATAAATAAGAACATGAAATTATTAAAAGTTACTATTTTTAAAATGTTATTTTTTTAACATTTTTTTTTTTTTTTTGTGCAACTTTTTTGAAAAAATAAATGTTTCTACAATTCAAAAAAATTTTATATACAAATTTTTTTAAATAAATTTGATAAAATTAGTTCATTTATTGAACCATCATTAGCAGTAATTCGTTACTTAATTTAAAAATGTTTTGCATAACTTTAATAAAACGTTTAAAGAGATAAGTTTTAATAACATTTATTTCAAACGTAATTAAAAACGTAACAAAAAGTTTCGCTTCAAGTTTAAGTTTTTATTTTTATTTTAGTGCTTGTATAATTTCTTTTTTTGTTTTCTTTTTTGTTTGTAATTTTTTTTGTTTCTTTTTTCAGTAGGAATTTTTCTTTCATTTCTTTTTTTTAACTTTTTTCCTAGTTTAAGTTCAGCCTAGCATTTCTACATTCAGTGCATTTCTGAAATGTTTCAAATCATCAAAACATATAAACAATCGTGGTAAAGTTGTCAAAAAATAAAATCATTAGCGTGGTCAGCAATAGGGCTCGATTGCATGCCATTCCTATCCAAGCCTGACTAACATTCCATCTTTCATTCATGGGACTAATCTTATTAGCTCTCCCAAGGATAAGGTAGAACTATTTGCTGTCATAGTCTTACAAAATTGTTCTCCAGAACTCTCTTAAAATCTCTTTAAAGTATTTAATAAGTGCTTGACTGAGTCTTGTTTTCCTGCCTGCTAGAAAATGGCATCTGTTGTTCCAATCATTAAAAACTCCGGAGAACATTTTGACCCCTTCAATTATTGTTACTTACTGTCAGACAATCTATACAGTTTTTGATGCTCTCGCTCTATGGCTGACTTGCTAACTGCTGTGACTAAAAGATTTTATTGTGCACTAGATGGAGGCAGAGATGCTAGGG